AACAGCACTTTCTCTGCACAACGTGCAGCTGTAGTTATCTCTTCTTGGAAACAAAGGAGCATCCTCTAACAAACTCTGTCCTTAGTCCTGAAAAACAGAACAATTCTCCACCATTAATGGTGAAAAGCATAATTTTTACCAGCAATAGACATACGCTCACATTGTATGAGCACAAGTGAAAGTTTGCAGAGAGGTGCCTTCTAACTTGCTGCCCCAGCCCAACTTTGCTGAGTCTCTGTGGTCTGGATTATGGTAACACAACATAACACACTGCCATTGAGTCGGATCTGACTCATAGTGAACCCCTCCTTGGGTTTCCAAGGTGTTATCACTACAGAAGCAGATTGCCCAAAAAGAAGGGCCTGTGTCAGACCAGGCGCAAGAGTGTGGTTTAGTGAAAATAACACCAGATTTCATGTTGAATAGTGAGGATCTATGTGACTGTAGTCCCTTCAAATGCAGAGGTAAGACTAGGCACTGGCTAAAACCCTTTTTCATTCAAAATGGGGGAAAAAAATATTAGCCTTAAGCATAGGACTCTCACAGCTACCAGCTGTGGTGTAGTAAATTACTTAGTGTGGCTTTTCTACCCATAAGTCTTTGTAAACTCCAAGGTGGGATTTTCTCTGAGCAACTGAGGAGCTCCTGATTGCTGAAGCTATCCACCTGGGTTATTTCTGTTGGGCGTGGCACAATACAATGTTCTGGGAGGTTCCCACTCTCTCTCACGTGCTTAGAGTTCTGATGCTGTGATTGGCTAGTTTGACCACCCTTCGGGGCTCAAAAGGAGGCCTCCTGGAGGGAGAACTCTCTCTGACTGCTGGTTGAGGAAGACGTGCTGCTTAAAAAGACACAGGCTCCTGAGACACGCGTTGCTGGGAAAGAGACACAAGAGACATGCATTGCTGAGTGAGACACCGAGGGACCAGCACTGCTGGGAAAGAGACTGTGAGAGACTGTTGGCTGACGGTTGGGAGACAGTGGGCTGGGAGAGAGACTGAGCATTTTTTTTCCGGAACTTGAATTGCAGCCTGTGGTGCTTCCCTAATAAACCCCATAATCTGTGAGCTCTGTGTGGCCACTGCAGCGAATTATTGAACCCAGGAGAGAGGTGGTGGGTGCTTTGAGAGGAACGGTTGGTGAAAGGGCTGGAGGGAGGCAGCATGTCTGGCCTTGCAGTAATAGGCCTTGGGTTACTGCTGGTAATCCTGTCTTCCTCTTGTGGGATTAGAGGAGGTTGGAACATGTGGCCTCCTCACCATTTTTGCACCAGCCCAGCAAAAACCAGTTGCCATCAAGTTGAACATGACTCGTAATGACCCCATGTCAGAGTAGAAACTGTGTTCTATTTAAAAACAAAACAACACAAAACAAACCACTACCATTGAGTTGATTTAAACTCATAGTGACCCTTTAGGACACAGTAGAATTGCTCCCATAGAATTTCCAAAGCTGTAAATCTTTACAGGAACAGAATGCCTCATCTTTCTCCCATGGAGTGGCTGGTGGGTTCAAACCACTGACATTTCAGTTAGCAACTTAGTACTTTAGTTATTGTGCCACTGTTGTTATTGTTGTTATGTTCCATGGAGTCAGACCTGACTCATAGCGACCCCTCCTTGAGTTTCCAAGGCAGTACCACTACGGAAGTAGATTGCCCAACCTTCCTTCCAAGGAGTGCCTGGTGGGTTTGAACCGCCAGCCTTCTGGTTAGCAGTCAAGTGTCTTAGGCACTATGCTACCAGAGCTCCCTCAATTATATGTGTTCCATAGGGTTTTCAATTTTTTGGAAGTAGATTACCAGGTCTTTTTTCCAAGGCTGTTATGGACAGACTTGAACCTCCAATGTTTTTGTGCTACCAAGTGCTTTTAACGTTTTGCACCACACAGGGACTCCATCAGCCTAGCAAGGAAAATATTAAATCCAGGCTTAGAAAGATTTAGTAACTTGCCCAAATCCAGTATTCTTTCAGCATACCCTGTATATTCTACTGTTCTACCATAGTGATTCAATTGGTCCTGGGTGGGAACCTCACTGGTATTTATTAAGTGCCTCAGCTGATTCTAAGGTGCAGTCAGGATGGAAATCTACCATACCACTGGCTGAAGCTAAAAAGAAAGCTTGCTGACGTCACTTGGAAAGAGTATTTTTCTTACCCCCTACCCCCAAAACACATCCTATAAATGTGATTCTCCATTCCTCTTGCCACAAGGGATCATCTTATTGGACTGGCCTGAGATTTAGCCTACATAAATTTCCTAAGTCATATTCAAGGGGAGCAAAGGATTTAGGTGCTTTCATATTTAGTCTTGTCTCCCTGGAAAATCATAAGCTGTGGTAAGAGTTTGTTATTATGAAGATATTTATCATCATCATTGCTATACTTTGCAAGTGTGGAGGAGGGAGCTGTTTGTGCTTGCTGGCCTTCTCCAAAAGTAAAAGCAAAATTCTCAGGTAGCCCATTTAAAGTTTCTTTAAACATTTTTTCCCCAAAATTAAAATTATTAGTTAAGTGTCAGCTCTGTCTTCTCTTGTCCTGGTTCCTGATCTCACATCTCAGCATTTCACATATAGCTAACACCACCCAACCATGGGAACACTCTCTGAAAAGTGGGCCACTGCTGGTCACCCTTCATGAACCTGATCCCCAAGTGTGAAGCCATCTCACTAACTCAGGCTGGTGTTCATGGTCCTCGGGGGGGGGGGCAGTGTGGTGTGAAGGTCAAGGAAAGAGGCTATAGACCAGCCCAGGGTTTGAAATTCTATCAGTTCTCAGCCACACAACAACAAATAATGTGCTTGACTTCACTGACTCGTGGTGTCCTCATCTGTACAATGGGGATCATAACACATACCTTATAGAATTGCTGTTGTGAGGTTTAGAATTAATAATTTATAGAAAGTCACTGAAACATTACAGGTATTCAATAGAGTGGTTGCTTTCTCCTTGGTAGAGGTCACACTTGATGTGAGTTGAGAACACTCTATAAGAAAATAGAGAAAGGTTGCTCTCTTTAACCTCAACTTTAAAAGTTGGATATATATCATCTAGTTTCCCCACTACCTAATAAAGGCCATTAAGTTTTACTGGCCATTGAAGTTTATAAGTAATTTTCACATATATCCTATCTCAGTGCTAAAATGTTCCTTTGAAATAGGAAGAACAAGTATAATTATTTTCATTTTATAGGAGCTGGAAGTGAAATTCAGAGCAGTGTACATGACTTCCTAAAATTACACATCCAAGATCAGAACCTAAGTTCTTGCAGCTAATCTGGCGTCTCTCTCAAATACCTTCCTAGGAGCCCTTGTATCTGCCAGTCTGTCTGCCTATAACAGCCTTCCATGCACTCTTTAGTTCACTAACTCCTACTCATCTTCCAACTTATAATTTCTGTGTTATTTCCTAATAATCCCCCCCATCCCACAGACCAGTGGGCTCCCTAGTATCTGGGCTGGACTTTCCCTCTACTTTTGTATTATATTTCAGGGCTCCTCAGGCCTGGGTGTCCATTAGAATTGTCTGAAACTTTTTAAAAAATAATATACTTTATGTCTCATTCAACACGTCCTTCATCAGACATCTCTTTTAAAAAGTTCCCCAGTTGATTCTGTTGCATGGAATCACCCTTACTCAGGTATAAACTCTATAAGGACAGGAACTGAATTTGTTTGCCGTTCAGTCCCTGGTGCCTTGAATGGTATCTAGGAATACTATTATATAATATATTATCATTGCTAGCATTTATTGATTATTTACTATATGCCAGGCATTGGTATATATATAACAGTTGTGTGTATATATATATATATATATATAATGTGTGTGTGTGTGTGTGTGTGTGTTTTATATATATATATATAACTTGCACACATGTTTTTCAATTAAGTATGCCAGTTTCCCTATGAGGAAAGAATTATTATTACCCTATTTAAAAGAGGAGGGAACTGAGGCTTAGAGAAGGGCTTGGAAAACATTTAGTAAATACGTCAATGATTGTTTTCAACTGGAGCAGTGAAGTTTATATTTCCTACCTACTTCCATTTCAATAAATGGAATCCCAAGAAGGTGATTGTAAAGAATGTAAGAAGGAACTCTGGGTATATCAGCTTTCAAGCTCATATTAGACATTGTCTCTAGAAACTAGAATGATAAAACAAAGCTTTGGAAGAGTTGGAAATCAGCCAGTGTGACCCCAAGATGCTATTTCCAAGCCCCACAACTAACATGGCTTTGTTTCTGAAACACCAGAAAAGTGCCTGGATTCATCCAGGATAGTGTGATAATATTTTCTATTACAGTGCTTTTGGCTGCACATAACAGAATTAGAATAACAAACATCAGAAGTTTATTTTTCTCATATAATCCCCACATTGACTTAGCTCTTTATCAGCATCATCAAGCACTCAAACACTTCTCATCTTTTTACTCTGCCATCTTCAAATTTTTGGCAATATTTCTCTACACTCTCCTGGGATGGTTTCAGCAACTCCAAGCATCACTTCATCTCACACAACATTTGAAACCAAGAAAGGAAGAGAAGACTCCTCCATGCCCATGTACCTCTCATATTTTGTGTAGGAGAAAAATCTTCCCCAGAACCCACCCTGCAGATTTCCTCTTCTTCCCAGAAGCACATCACATGACCACAGCTAGCTTAAAATACATCTGGGAAAGAGAGTAAAATGCATGGTGTTTTCAGGTCTCTGTTAGGAGGTGAACTTCTCCATCAAGGAAAAGGGGGGGAAGAAATGATTGATATCTTGACAACCAATAGTGCCAGCCTTACCTGTTTTTAATTATAAATACCTGATTATTAATCTAAACTCAGTTCTCCTTCAGACTATTTTAAAAGCTAAGTTGGTTCTTTGAATCCATTGTTGTTGAAGAAAGGACCATGTCTACTCTAGAGATCTCTAGATTGATTACACAATTGAGAGTTGAGAGTTTATGACAAGGACATTTAACAATGCTAATGCTCTCCTCTTCTGTTTTCAGGTCAACAGTGATCTTATTTACATTACAGCCAAAAAAGATGGCACTCATATTGTTGAAGCTGTGGATTCCACCCACATTGGGAAATTAATTGTGACCAAAAAAATTGGAGGAGATGGCATGCAAGATATTACTGATAGTTATAAATTCCAAGAAGGTAATTTACTACAACTGAAGGATGATTTCTTTGCCCAAGCCCTTTTCTCTCTTTTATTTAGTACATATTTACTGCCATTACAAAATATGTCCCAGAGAATGCAGTGGGATTTGCAGCATTTGGTAATAAGGGCAAAAATATAAACTCTCATGAGTGGATCATCAGACCCACAATTTTTCACTGTAGTTTTGCTGGCTTGTTGGTTTTCAGCAGAATTCCATTCCTGTGGCTTGTGAAATAATTTCGTTTTAAGTCATGTTTATAACAACAGGATACAGAATATTCTCTTGCACTCAAAAATATGAAAAGATCTTAATTTAAAATAATCCTTTTAGGAAATACTGGATAACTAATAGAATTTTAGTTCATTAATAGAAATTTAAATAACTACTAACATTTGTTTAGGAGTTTAAAACTCAACTCACTGCCGTCAAGTAGGATCCGACTCATAACGATCCCTCCTTGGGTTTCTGAGGCAATATCTCTACGGAAGTATATTGCTCAGTCTTCCTTCTGAGGAGTGGCTGGTGGGTTTGAACTGCCAGCCCTCTGGTTAGCAGTCAAATGCCTTACATTTTTTCCACTGAATTCTCATGGAAACCTCATGAGGTAGAAAATATAATATTCATAGTAATAGTACAATGAAAGCCTGGCAGTCTACTCCCAAAAATCAGTCAATGAAAACCCTATGGATCACAATGGAACATTGTCTAATCCACATCTGATCATGAGGATGGCACAAGACCCGGCAGCATTTCATTCTGTTGTGCCATGTGTCAGGAGAGACTGACAGCTGCTAACAGCAATGACAATAGTAATCACTGATTTGGACCAGTAGGTTAAAGGCCAATTTTGATCATAAAATAATGTTAAGGTGGTTTTATTAACTTTTGTAGTATAGAATGTTTCAAATGGAACTGTTCAATTTCATTTTGATAAATACTGAATATCTCTCTGTATTGATCTGTACCTGGAATTATGTTTGGTGCAGCAGTGAGCACGATCTAGCTCCTGTCTCAGGCCGAGTGATGGGATCATTGTACAGAGGGACTCTGGGAACAGAAAAGAAAGATACTCAGTTAGCCCAGACATGGGTTGCAAAGGAAAGTTCAAACCCAGCCAGAAGCACCTTGGAAGAAAAGCCTAGAGACCTGCTTCCCAAAGACCTTGAAAACCCTGTAGAGTGCATTTCTCCACTGAAACATACAGGTTATTCATGAGTCAGAATAAACTTGATGGGAATTGATTCAGTTATAGTCTAACAAGGAGTTGATGGGTAGAAGTTCCTGGGTAGTGCAAATGGTTAATGCACTAACAAAAGCTGCTAACCAAAATGTTGGAGATTCAAATCTACCCAGAGGAACCTTGCAAGAAAGTTCTGGTGATCCATTTCCAAAAAATTAGTCATTTAAAATCCCATGGAGCAGGAGTTCTGATAAGATGGCAGACAAGGCAGAAAGACTGCACGGACTCTCTTCAACAAAGAAAAGGGAAAACAATTAACACAGACACAGAAGATAATCTTGGACCCCTGAGCCTTGAAGGGAAGGATATAGAAGTGGACTAAACACCAACTAGCAGAAGAATTTGCTTGAAAATACCAAAAAAGGAGACAAATGGAGCTGTGGTCTGGTAGCGATCCTGAGCAATCCTGATGGCATAGCACAGACAGCTTGGAGGGGGCCGAGTGGTGGTAGGACCTAAGAGTTAACCTAAAAATCAGCCCTGCTAGCCAGGGAATGCACAGAGGACTGCTCTGGTGGCTGAGGTATAAACGGAGAAGGTGAAAAGAAAGGGACTGAGCTGCGGACTTTTACCTGCCATTTTGAATGTTTACAAGCGGCTTAACAATTTTGGATATTTAAAGAGACAGTGCTCTCTGAGATTCCAGGGGCTTGAGAACAAGTTCTTGCCAGAAACCCCAAGGACACTCCGGACGTGCACGACTAAAAAGATGAAATATTCCTCTTGCTACTCTTACCCCACACCCACTTGGTTAACGGAGGTGCGGCCTCCCCCACTCCGACCCACCTTCTGGGCCTGCAGGAACTCCATTCCAGTCTGTGTGCTCAGACGGAGTCTGGGTGCCCTGCACTGTCCTCCACCGATATTTTTTTCTCTTTTTTTTATTTTTATTTTTTATTTTTTGCTTTCTTTTTCTGGTGTTTAGTTTGCTAGTGTCTGTTTTAAAACTACTATTATTAATAATACTTTTGTCCTTTTTACTACTATTCTTTATTCTTTCCTTCCCAGGTCTTAATTTTCAACTTTTCCTCTTTTCCCTGCTCCTGGTTGGGAAAAAAAAAAAAAAAAAAAATCTTAATTTTTAAAAATTTTTTTTTTTTCTTCCTTTTCAGTGTTTAGTTACTCTGCTA